AATTTTCTCGTCGTTCCATAATTTTTTTTTCAAATTGACCAAATTTGCAAGATTCGACATGCTCCGGAAAGGGAAGATTGTGCTTACGATAATCAATCTGCTAATTTTCTAAAGAAATTTGATTATTCAAAATCCCGCATTTTGAACTTATTGTAGCTATATCTCAGCGGTACAAGTTGCAAAGATTGCGCATGATTTCCGAAGGTGTCACCATATAATCCATTAATAAAATTCGAGATTTACACGTCTTTCAAATATGGAAAAGTAATCTTCCAAACCTAAGCTTGATCGAAAGTCAAGACTTACGCAAAAAATCCTTATCAAAAATTCAATAGGACGAATCATAAATTCTAGGAAAAGTTTCCGCGCAAAGCCTCTGTTTCAAATGATGATTGTTTGCTGTCTTCGCCAAATGATACACAAGAAAACACTTGAAAAATTGAACAAAGGTAAAAACTGATGAGGCAGATTCTCGCATTCTCATGGACTTTGTCGAATGATTTTGAGTTTATCTGAGTTGGTCAGTAGAATGAGCTAGAAATACTGCTAGTTGCTTGAATCTTGCGTCCCTTTCACGAAGAAGTATCAGAATGTTATGTAAAATATAGTTGTCTTAATTGTGCAAATCATTGGCAAGAGATTCTCTTTGTAGTCGTTCCTATTGGCCATTATATGGTTAGGAAAGTAAATCTTATGCATAGCTTTGAAACTCCTCTTATCAGCCTAGCAGCGTACTGTAAAAATGAGCATAGTTCTCACGTGATCATGTTTTTAAGGTGCAAAAAAGTATCAAAGGAGAACAATGCGGTTGGTTTTTGGAGTGACCATTGAACTCTATTCCAACTTATTTATTGCGTTTAGTTATATAAAATTGATCTAAAAGCTCGCTTAGTATGTTATAGAGAAAGAGAAGTTCTGTGATAGAGTAGCATCTACTGTCCTTTGTGCCACGGAATCTGTGCGGGATCCTGTGTGATCCTGTGTGACTTGTGAAACTTCTTTGTGCTGCATCTAACTATGTGATCTGACGGTCCATCAGCCCATCAATGCTGGCTTCCCGCAACGTGGCAGAGATGTAAGATATTGCGATTTGTCAACTTTGAGTAAAACTGACAGTAGATCGGCAAAATGGACCCTTCTCGGATTTTGGTGGATTTAGGTAGTGGACCACCTATGTACACTGTAGCCCTCACCCCACCCTCCTATTCAGGCGCTATGTCCTGTAGAGGAGCTTCAAAACTCCATCAATATTGCCCACTTAATGGAACTAGGGACTTTACAGGACTTAGCGCATGAATTTGCGGGTGGAGTTGGGCTACAGTGTACATAGGTGGTCTGCTACCTAAATCCACCAAAATCCAAGAAGGGTCTATTTTGCCGATCCACGGCCTTTAGCTGTTGCCAAAATCGCTCAATCGGAGTAGGCAATATTACTGCGCGTTGCCATTTTATCCCTAGATCACAGCATTCCATTGGAATGGCTAGCAGTTTATGCGTGTGCTCCTTACTGCTCTTCATATTTGCTTAGGTTTTTCTTCGGTTTGCCATTGCGACTAGATTACCGGCTTACCCGCTTTAAACCTTTATAAACATAAAACATAAGCTGCTGCAATCGCAAACAGCACTTTGCTTTTCTGTCATTGTCTGTGAAAGCTCTGCTTGTCTGCAGATCTAGAAAATTACCATGAGAATCAGCGCTGAACCCGTACATATGTACTCGCAAACTTTTTTGCATAGAAATATTCAGTACATCCGCGCAAAAAAAGGCTATGGTTTATAGCAAAGCAGCAAGTTTTGGAGCATTTTTCTTCATAATCGTCGCAAACAAATGCAATCGTCGGTGCATTTTGCAATTACCAGATCTTTGTGTAAAACGGAATACCGCTGCACTTATCAAATCAGTACTCAAAGGTATCACTAACTACCCAATCAATTCGAGAACGGCTTTCGATGTTACCGTACAAACGCAGGGAACATTAGGGTATAATTTCAAAAGGTACGAACTCAATCAATAACATTACGGAAAGAATAGAGCTTAGCAACTTCACCTGCAACGTGCAGATTTTTCCAGCAAGTGTTTCAAATTTTACAAAACACAATCTCAAAGAAACGAAGTTTTCCCAATAAATTCATTCAAGAAAAAGGGAGCCCAAAGAGCATTTGCAACCTTTCTGTTTCCGCATGTTCATTCTATCTTCTCCCGACACCCATTCATCCCATTCATTATAAAGGTTTTTCCCGTCATTTTTCTATATGTCATGACGTGACTTACAATAGTCTGAAAGTGCTTTTTGTTTTCTTCGGGTTCGCTAAAATCGAAAAATAAATCAAATAGCTTTTTGAGTGGTTATCTTCGTCGCTGGAGTTCGTTCATTGATATCATACAGGCGTTAGCCCCATGAACTGATCTCAAGACAATTGCGGTCACTTTGAAGTCTGTGATGGAGAATTTTTCAGTCTATGCAAACTACCACACCGTAGTCTTTCCCATATCGGACAAACTTGAACCCTATCTTCTCTACATCCTCCTATCGCTTTCTGTAAGTAAATACTCTTTCGTTCTAGCCTTCCGTGAAGGTTACACAATGATTGTTACCACTGATGGTGTCGCGTTGTGGCCTTGTCGATGTTCTTATCACTACGATATTGACATTGATTCTGCCATTTCGTATTCTTCGATTGCGTTTGCTAGGGCAGTCAACTGAACAGTTATACCATGCAAGGAAGGTTGAACCGATTTGTCGCAACTTTTCAAAAAATCATAAATTGTTTTTTAAAGATTTTGGAACGATTTTAATTTTGTTGGATAGAGAAGATCCTCTTCCAATTTTCGCTCTCATGAGATGCAAGCAATCAAAGATTTTACTCAAATTTGGCACTTCATAAACAAGTTCTCAAAAAAAAAAGTACTGAAAGAAGACAGCTCAGAAAAATTGTGCATGTTCCTTAAACAATGCTAACAAAACTGTGGTACCCTCAAGTCCGCTATGGTTTTCTCCTAAAATTGGTCAATTTCTCATTTTCTCTTCCTTCGTGGCACTATCTTAATAACTTTTTTTGGCATTACTCTTCTACAGAAAAGGAATTAGGAATTCTTCTGATAGATGGCAAATGGTTATTGTATGATCGTGGAAATATTTTGTTGTTTGATGCTCATTTGCTAAATTTTTTTTTCAATAGATAGATAGAGAAATGAGAGTAAAGAATTGACCAAATACGGAAAAACCCCGCTTTCGTCGGTCTTGACGAATTTGAATCTGCCATTGCACATAGCAAACAGATAGTGTGTGAAGAGTATGTATCTTTTAGTACTTTCTCAGAGACCTTTTTCAAAAAATGCCAAACTTAAGTAAATCTTTTCGATTGCTTGAATCTTTTATATTATCTCTCAGTAGCTGTATCAAAGCGATATTTGTAAAGCGAATATGAGATCTTTACTTGATGAAATTAGAATCGTTCCAAAATCTTGACGCAGCAAAAAGTTGTGGCCTTCTAAAAAGGTTGGCAGAACTTTCGGTTCAACCAATTGTATAACAAAAGAACTAGCAACTTCTACTTGAATGTCAAGCAATGCTGAAAAGTCTTCTTTTTCCATTGTAACATGATCATGAGTCATATGGAGTTCTCGAACTATTCTCCGCTTATCAAAACAGTTCCCCTACCATTTCTTCTGCCACTTCTACGAACTTCCCCAGGTTCGTTGACTGTTTTCGATCTATGACATCTTTTCAAGATTTGCAATTTGATAGCGGACACGGTCTCTGCATTGCAGCGGACATCAAATAGCATTTCAGTTACACACTCAAGTGCTTTATAACTCCCTTTTAAGCTGGAGTGCTCGCTCTCACTACATGTAAGATAGATGGTTCAAAAAGTGGTCTTTCCTATCTTTGGAGCATTCGGGCATAGTACGGAAGTGAATGCGTTATGCAGTCATACGTATTAGCCTAATTACCTGCTGTCATCTAAATATTCTTCCAATATTAGAACTTATCAGAGAGGCGTTACTATCGCTAATTCTGCATTTTTACATTAAAATTCTCACCCATGAGATCTGGGAACCTAAAATTATCCCACAACCTTAGTCTACTGTTTGCACGGATGCAAACAGTAGGCCTTAGTGTCAAACTTTAACCTTCAAGTCTTTCTTTGTAATTGTCATTAGACACAAAAACCGCGGAGAGAAAGGAGAGTGTTTTACCTATTCACATCAAACTAGACACTTTATAACGTGTGCGGTCTTTCTTCCATAGTTTCTCAATTTTGATAAGGATAATGACCAATGGCTAAGCACTCTACAAATCTGCGGTGAAATAGGAGTTAAGCTCTTTTGAATGATTTTAAAGTGAGCCTTACTTCCATGATCATCACATCAATCTCCATATGCTGCTTTTGTGCTCTAAGTTGTGTTCTAATATGTACTAGTCCGCTTACCCTTACATTTTTATCTCTTGTTATTGACAGAGAAAGCTCTAACCTTTTCTTTGTGCAGAACTATCGCATAGTGAAACGTGCCACACTATATTTCATGCTTCAATTGTTATCGAATAACCTCACTTTAACTTTTCTATCAAGTATATGCAAAAATGTAGCCTTGTTCATGCTACATGGACTCATTTTTTGAACTTCTGCTTTTCTAAGCTGAGTGTCTACTTCTCCGACATTGAGGAATAGTCATTTATCCGTGTTAAATTTGATTTTCAAAAAATTACAACTTTTACCTCAACTTACTGTCTGGCTTATAAAATAAAGTTTTCAAGAGAGAAATTTGAACTATGTGTGAATAAAGAGCTTCAAACTATTATTGTCCTATTTTTGATTAATATCTCTGTACTTATCTGGAGGTCCTTCTCGTGACTCGTCAAAGTCATGCTCATAAATCACCGTTTAACCCATTTCTATGCTATTTACGAACCATAAATGACTTTCTAGGCCTACCCTTTGATACGTTTCCCTGCGTGGTTGATAAACATGGTAATTAAATAGATAATCTTCACTCAGTTCCAAATGTGGTGGGTGCTGGCTCTGGTGCCGTTGTGCTGGTGTGCACCTCGCATCACCCCACCGTGTGAAGACGACGTGAAGAACATCGGCTCATCAGCAGGATACAACGTCGCCTCAGAAATGCTCACGAAGTCCATCAACTTTTCGGCTAGTTGCCTTAAAACTTGCTTTGGTTCTTAAAACTTATCAAGCTTTCCAGGTGGACCCATGTGAGGATTTCTTTGAATTCACCTGTGGCAACTGGATAGCTAATCATCCAATTCCCAAACACAAAACCAGCTATTCGCAATTTGGAATGCTTTCTGACAAAGTACAGGAACAAATGAGAGGTACGTACTCAACTCAAGGAACCGCTGCAGATTCTTAGTGCAAATAAACCGTGCAAAACTCTGCTCTGCTCTTTGAAGCGTAAACATCACTGAACAAAGAAAGTGAACTTTGTAAAGTTTTTTTTTCTGTTGATATAGCAGAGATGCGCACTTAAGCATCTCGCCTTGTGACAATACGCTCACCTAAGAAATTTAAGATATATTTGAATCAAATGAGATGTTTGGATCGAAATCTATGAATGCACTGAAAGCCATCTACAAGAGGTGTATGGACAAGGACGAACTGAACCGTATCGGCGCAAGGCGATTCGTAGAAAACGTCAAGGTTGATATCTACTTTTGCTCCGACATCTGTCAAGTGAACTCCTTTAGAGTTACGGCGTATGGCCCATTTTGGAAGGCGATGAAAAATGGAAAGTGGAGAATTTCGACTTGACGTCGTTGCTAATCCATGTGTCACAAATCCGTGGTGTCGATGTATTTGTCAGTTATTATGTCACTCTCGACAACAAAAATGTTTCTCGCCGACTCATTGAGGTTTGTCGTTCTTTTTCTTTATTGCATATACAAAGCATAGAGTAAATACCGGAGTTGATTTATCACTTTAGCGCAGTATCTTTGAACGAAAAGCAGATAAAAGGGTCCAAATTTCTAAAGCTTGTATGCACGTTCATCCCCGCGCGGAGGAAAAGATCTGAAAGGGGATGCGACTCTCGTTGCTCTGAATATCTTGCTTTTTCTTTCTCCCTCTGAATTATGAAGGTTCTGATACCCGATATCTGCGCATAATGGTTGCCAGGGTTGTCATTCAAGATTACATTTCCACTATTTTGTGTGATCACAGGGAATCCCCAGGGGAACACCTCCGGGGTAAAGCAAGAGGTGTGGCGCACACGATCGCTATATCCGATCCACCCCCTCAGTCGCTGTCTTGATACCCTTCTTGATACCCCTAATCCACGATTTTCGCAATCATAATGGTTGTATCAGTCCCTTCTGGAGACAGCTGAAGAGATCGAGGATGCAGCGACTCTTTGAAATATGCACATAAAGAGCGATCAACAGAAAAAGCACGAAGGTAAAAGGCCGCGCAAAGTAAAGTAGATAATTTTTGCAAGACGACATAAAAAAGTTTCATTCTCGAATTCTGCTCCTCCAAGTTTGTACCCTCTAAACACAAAAAGAAGCAGGATGCGAGAATGAGACGAAAACGGGCAAAGCTTACAATTAGAACCGTTGAAGAAAGTCAAAAATTGTCATTTCGCGCCCCTCAAAATCGCGTGCGGGCAGCTACAGAGCATGCAGCACAGTTCCGGCACAGTTACAGCACAGTGGAAAAACTGTGCTAAAACTGAACTTCGGGATCCGAATGATTCCAGTCTTAGAATTCTGCAAGCCGGTGCAGTCGTTAGCTAAATATGGCACTGGAACAGCGCTGAACACTGTCTTGCAGGTAGTGCCCCGACAGGTTTGATCAGTCGGAAAAGTGACAACAGTAGGATAGTAGACACCTCTTGGCCCCCTGGCCAATTCGCGTCAGATTCTGTCCGGTGTCCGCAAAGGGAACGCCTTTCATTTTGTACAAACTTAGTGGCTCAGTCCGCATTTGACCCACCGGCTTGGGCAATCTCTTCGCAGCTCACTGCTTAAATTACTGGCTTCAAAGTTTTCGTGCCAATAGTTTGAGTTTTGAATTGCCTTGCACGCGCTCTCGTCCGAGCTTTTTCAAAAGTGTGACTGAATTAGGCTCTTTCATGCGCTCGGAAGCCCATATTCGGATAGGGCGGATGGAAAGATTCCGATAAGGCAAAAACTAATATTTCAAAATCTGCCGGGACACTGCCTTTAAGAGAACTCGATGACTGGACCTGGCATGAAGCCAGCATATCGGGTCTTGATTATGCAGCTCTGCACAACCGTAGTCTCCGCGACGAGAAAATATTAGTTGAATATAGTAAGTTTAGTGAAGTACGGATGTGTTTCACATTATATTTTGCAACACTGACTTCATAATCTTCGAAATGCAATGTGCGAGGAGCAGTAGCAAAGGTCAGCGAATTTGCAAAAACTTCAGCTCCCCATTTCATAGCATTAACCACTGGCTAAAACTCAATTACAGGAGAAGCAAAAGAAGACCTGTTCATGCTTTTGAGTGCAGATTTCACTTGTTAGGGCATAGACAACGAATTAAAGGTGGTTGTTTAGGGAATCGCTTTAAACGAGATTAATTGTTTAGTAATTGCTTCAAAGAATTATTGTTATTTAGGGATAATGTGCTGTGCAATCGAAGTTTTTTCCAAATTCCCGTTTGGTTTAATGCAACTCAAGATACAAATGTTTTGGATATATATCGTTATGCAACCAGCCATGAGCTATAGCCTAAAATCTCTTAAGGATCTCAGCCTTGAGACTTTTAGGGTGTATGCTATTATGAGCAATCACGTAGGCGTTGCGCGCGACAGGTTGCTCTAGTCAGCGCGGAGAACGCACTCAGGAGGAATATCAAGCATAATATTCCATCATTTATTGAGAGGGTCTGCAAACTACATATCGTCGATTCGTTGACCGCACGGACTGGAAACCGCCGCGGAGCACGCGCCGCGTGGTAAAACGCTTGCCCCAGTACAAATTCGCCATAGTACAAACCGTGCTCTCGCAACATTTTAGCCGCGCCGCGCGTGGTCCGTAGCGCTGAAGCAGTCCGTACGGTCAATGAATCGACGATACTGATTTCTACTATTTGCGCAAAGTCTGGCACAATACTTGCAAAGCTAGAGCAGCTTAGCATAGACGAATTTTAATGGTTACGATTTGCCCACCAAGATTTTTGTGTGCACTTGAATATAATCTTCAGGCATCTTATGCGGGAATTTGCAGTCTTTCTGGGAAAGATGCCAGTGTCGTAAGTAAATTATGACTTGTGCGCAATGCAAATTAGGAGAAAAGAGTGCTAAAACAATCTGCGAGTGTCACAAACACTATGATCCTCAAGATTAAAAAAAAATTAAAATGATGTCCACAAGTAGGAAGTCTGCACTTGAAAAGCAAACGCTCTTAGCCCAGTAGCTAGTAGCTAGTTGTAGTATAGTGAGTAGAGCATGCATAACGCATTTTCAGTTATTAAGAAATTTTCGGGCAACTTACCAGCAGCGCCGAACACCCTATATGCGTCATTTGTTTAAGAAGCTACTTTTGCTGGTGGATAGAATTTGTCTTTTACCATAAACAAGCTGAAGCTAGTTTTTTTTACAGTTTGATCAAGGAGACCTTATCTTGGGCGAATCGTCGCGAGATTACTACTTGGATAGAGCAAAACACGGCAAGAAGATTGAGGCTCTAAAAAAGTATCTTGTCAAAAAGGTGAGACACTGCCTCAGATGGTTTACGCAAATTTGGAAACTTTGAAATTTGCAGGTTGAACTGTTTCAAAAGGATGCTAATCTGCCCACTAACAGAACAAAAATTGAGAGAGACATTGACGAGATGATCGCACTCGAAACGAAAATCGCAGAAATCCTAATTGCAGATGAGGATCGCAGAAACTACACAGAAC